ACCGCAGGATCATGTGCGCGACAGTGCTTTGCTTTTTGCTTCTCAGCATGCCATGCCATAACGCGTGGGTGGCGTCGCGATAAATGTACGCGACTGTTGTGGCACTGTCATCGTTGGCGTCTGGCGATCGTGAGATCGAAAATTCGACTGCGTCGCCCGTTGGGATTCGAGCTTTGCTGCTGCTGCTGATTGACTAAGGTAAGGTAAGTAAGTAAGGTACTAGGCGCTGTCGATCACAAATATGCGATCTCCACTAGGCGTCGATCTTTTTGGACAGCACTATTAATTACCATGCGATGTTAACATGAATATCGCCATTACATCATATGACCGCAGGATCATGTGCGCGACAGTGCTTTGCTTTTTGCTTCTCAGCATGCCATGCCATAACGCGTGGGTGGCGTCGTGGTACATACACGCGACTGTTGTGGCACTGTCATCGTTAGCGTCTGGCGATCGTGAGATGGAACATTTGACTGTATCGCCCGTTGGGATTCAAGCTTTGCTGCTGCTGCTGATTAAGTAAGGTAAGGTAATTTGGTTTGGGTGAAGATTATAAAGGTCAGAGGTATTCACTTCATGCCAAGACGATAAAGATCAGAGGTAGGTACTAGGCCCGGTCGATCTTAAATTAAGATCTCCACTAGGCGCATCTGACGGTCGATGGGATTATTTATCTTGCCGACGTGGCGCACTCGAGAGATCCGAACATGAACATCGAGTCTGCCATTCGATTTGACATTTCTCGATCCTCGCGTCTGCTATGCAATGTAAAAGCGAATCTATCTGATTTCCGAACATCGCGTCGGCCATGCGATGTTTAAATCATTTTCGCCATTACACTATCTGACCGCAGGATCATGTGCGCGACAGTGCTTTGCTTTTTGCTTCCCAGCATGCCATGCCATAACGCGTGGGTGGCGTCGTGGTACATACACGCGACTGTTGTGGCACTGTCATCGTTAGCGTCCGGCGATCGTGAGATGGAACATTCGACTGTATCGCCCGTTGGGATTCGAGCTTTGCTGCTGCTGCTGCTGATTGACTAAGGTAAGTAAGTACTAGGCCCGGTCGATCTTAAATTAAGATCTCCACTAGGCGCATCTGACGGTCGATGGGATTATTTATCTTGCCGACGTGGCACACTCGAGAGATCCGAACATGAACATTGAGTCTGCCATTCCATTAATGATTTGACATTTCTCGGACCTCGCGTCTGCTATGCGATGTAAAAGCGAATCTATCTGATTCCGGAACATCGCGTCGGCCATGCGATGTTTAAATCATTTTCGCCATTACACTATCTGGCCGTAGGATCATGTGCGCGACAGTGCTTTGCTTTTTGCTTCCCAGCATGCCATGCCATAACGCGTGGGTGGCGTCGTGGTACATACACGCGACTGTTGTGGCACTGTCATCGTTAGCGTCCGGCGATCGTGAGATGGAACATTCGACTGTATCGCCCGTTGGGATTCGAGCTTTGCTGCTGCTGCTGCTGCCGATTAAGGTACTAGGCGCTGTCGATCACAAATATGCGATCTCCACTAGGCGTCGATCCTTTTGGACAGCACCATTAATTACCATGCGATGTTAACATGGATATCGCCATTACATCATATGACCGCGGGATCATGTGCGCGACAGTGCTTCGCATTTTGCTTCCCAGCATGCCATGCCACAACGCGTGGGTGGCGTCGTGGTACATACACGCGACTGTTGTGGCACTGTCATCGTTAGCGTCTGGCGATCGTGAGATGGAACATTCGACTGTATCGCCCGTTGGGATTCGAGCTTTGCTGCTGCTGCTGCTGCTGCTGATTGACTAAGGTAAGGTACTAGGCCCGGTCGATCTTAAATTAAGATCTCCACTAGGCGCATCTGACGGTCGATGGGATTATTTATCTTGCCGACGTGGCGCACTCGAGAGATCCGAACATGAACATCGAGTCTGCCATTCCATTAATGATTTGACATTTCTCGATCCTCGCGTCTGCTATGCAATGTAAAAGCGAATCTAACTGATTTCCGAACATCGCGTCGGCCATGCGATGTTTAAATAATTTTTGCCATTACATCATATGACCGCAGGATCATGTGCGCGACAGTGCTTTGCCTTTTGCTTCCCAGCATGCCATGCCATAACGCGTGGGTGGCGTCGCGATAAATGAACGCGACTGCAGTGGCACTGTCATCGTTAGCGCCTGGCGATCGTGAGATGAAACATTCGACTGTATCGCCCGTTGGGATTCGAGCTTTGCTGCTGCTGCTGCTGCTGCTGCTGCTGCTGCTGCTGCTGCTGATTGACTAAGGTAAGTAAGGTAAGGTAATTTGGTTTGGGTGAAGATTATAAAGGTCAGAGGTAGTAAGGTAATTCACTTGATGCCAAGACGATAAAGGTCAGAGGTAGGTAATTTACTTCATGCCAAGACGATAAAGGTCAGAGGTAGTAAGTAAGTAAGGTAATTCACTTCATGCCAAGACGATAAAGGTCGAGGTATGCACTTGATGCCAAGACGATAAAGGTCAGAGGTATTTACTTCATGCCAAGACGATAAAGGTCATAGGTAGGTAAGGTAAGTAAGGTAATTTGGTTTGGGCGAAGATTATAAAGGTCAGAGGTAGTAAGGTAATTCACTTGATGCCAAGACGATAAAGGTCAGAGGTTATAGAGCGACTATATGTGATTTAAGCACAATATAAGACTTACGACACACATATGCGTGCTCAAGCATGGTATATTCATGATAATGTCGCTTCGTCGACATATCTTTGTCTTGGCGTGCTTGCCTGTATCATGAGCATGACCGTGCATAGCGTAGTATGTACGAAACCGTATTAGATATGGTCGATCGCTGTTCGTCTCGTGACAGTATAAAATCTAACACTCGGCTATGCCATACGTCTGATGACCTATGACATATAATATGTATGGCAGTCTATCATCATGGTCATTTCATCAGACTCTGATATATCTCCCGACTTGGAACTATTGTGACCTCGCAATAACATATATGAGTAAGAGTCAGATATCACCTTTGTTTGCTGGCCAGCATTTTGATAACCATATATAGTCATTCAATTGATTGATATGCCTTGCCCATGGATAGCCATTGGTATAACCAATATATAAGCAAACACAAACATATCAAAACCAAACGTTAGTCGGCCATGCATCCGCATGCCCTCCTTCGAAGAAAATACTGGTTCGTAGGTTTCCACATCCTCTTGTACACGCAGATTTTGTGACAAGGTGCGATTTTATTCTTGTCGGAGATCGTCAATCTCTCGACTTTGATATCAATATAATCTGCCGTTTTTAACGGGTGACGACACTACTAAAACTGTACGAGATTACGGAATGCTGCCTACCGAAGTCATGAAATGGCTTCGCGTAGCTCAGTGGTAGAGAGATCTCATATTAAGCGAGAGGTCATGGGTTCGAGCCCCTTCGCGAGATGCATTTTCCTCGTGACGGAATAAGCTCGAACCATATCAAATAGTGAAAATCCCCATTACTATGCATCGTCTCTAGGACTTCCGGCCTTGTGCTACTAGGATGCTACGTAACAGCGAGCGTACATACTTTACACGATGATGTTTTATGCACTGTGTAGCAGCACGTGTACAACCATGTATAGTTTGTTATTGTAGTATTCACTCTGGCTTACCACCCCGCATTGTGCGATTTGTGCCAAGCAACCGAGGCATCCGATTGGTAAATCAGACCGTGATAATCACGACGCGTGTCCCGGCGCGACGTGGCATACAAGGTTACACACGAAGCGATTCACAGCGTGAAACACGCATACGTGTAAGTATGAGCGAAGGTCGCCGCATACACAGACTATATGCATAGTTTGTTATCAGTCTCTTTGTACCTGTGTGACGCTCTGGTTAGATGTATATAGCAAGCCGTGCAAATATGCATAGTCGGATGACTCGTTGCACTCCGAGTATAGGACGAGTCTATCTGACCCAGCCCGTGACTGAAAAGACAAATGGGTCCCCCCTTATATTCTCGACCGCTAATATCTACGTAAAGTGCATTGAAAAAAACCTTGGGTCACAAAATTGTCACTGATCAGACACTGCTGCGGAGAAAACGTCAAGTTCGACTCCAACGACAGAATTTTTTCACACCGAAGCGTGCTCGTTCACTTCACCATCCTTTATAAGGACTATGAACGGGGCAGAGAGAGGGAGAGAGAGATGCCGCGCGAGGAGTTATTCCTTTGTTTGATTCGTACTCAAACAATATTTCATATGAACTTCTGCACAATCATCTTGCTGCGTAAGCGCTTAGAAGACGAATAGCCAACAATTTTATTGCAACTGTGATATAGAATTTAGCGAACATAATAGTCGAAGAGTTCGAATAACGCAGTCGCGATCGCGTTTCGCTCTAGCGTTATAGCTCAAGTATAGCTTGCGCAGAGAGCAGGTCGAGGGCTTCTGCCATTTTACATGAGAGTACACGAGACAATATAATAGGTACAATGCAGTAAGAATTATGTGCGTGGCAAGCGCAACCAAAACTGCGAGCGTCGCCCAACTCAGATTCCCTTCAGCTCTATGGAGCTAGTAGGGTTCAAAGATTTTTCGAATACTTGCGAACAACTTGCGAACACCTTAGGAGACTTGCGAGAGAGCTATTGCGCTCAAAATTGCGACGAGTTATGTGACCAACGTACTGAAAATTATGTCGCGCGTTGGTTGGTGCTGCTCAGGAGACACGAACAAGCGATTGCGCCGTAGTAGCCCTTTTAGAGCTAAAGGGAGATTGGTGCAAATAGGAGATTCCCGCCACATTTATTCATCAAACCTGCCGTAAAGTCTAATAAACTGATGCGAAATCTGCAAAAAATTCTCAAGTGAGCCAAAGAAAGCTGTTGGCCCCTCTGCGAAAAATCTAATTCGCCTTATATGTCAGAATCTATAAATTGTGATGGGACTTTCACTGTACAAGACCCGAACGTCAACGCGAGCTCGGGCACAAATGTTGCTCCAAGCCGGTTTCGATCCGGTAACCTCGCGATTGTCGCCCGCTCGCTCTGCCACTGATCTATTGGAGCTTAATCATGTTCAAACTCGATCCTCTTGTGGCAGTTATACAGTTCCGATATTTATACAGATCGAAGATCGACTGTGACATCAATCGATGACGTACCAACATCGCGACTGCGGGCGTCTGTAATCTTTCCATCCGTAACATTATAGGTCGAGAGTGGAAGGGTCGGGGCACAGAACCAAACGGTTTTGATACCACCTGCGACAACCCAAAAAATACATATATACAGTGATATCAGAATACTGTATAAGAGCGGGTAATCAAGACGTCGACAACGGCAGCAGTCGGATATATTTGTGTGTGTGTTGCATATGTATACGACATAGTGTGTGTGTGTGTACGACATAGTGTACCCTATATGGAACACCTAAACAATATGGTTTTCAGTCAAATACTTACATGGGCTAGATTTCATATAACGCAACGTGCGATCCGATCGACTCGGTTCGTTCAGGCACGGGTCACTATAGGGGTACTGCTATACTGCAAGGGATTCACGTCCCCAAATACTATTGTCGCAGTAAGTGGTATCGGATACTTCATATTCTTACGTCACTATTATGCACATTTCAAGTTAGAAAATATAGTATTTTTGCAGAACATGCACATAATGAACACTTTGGGGTGGGCGCTCCAGAAGCCACGTCCTCCATCCTTATCTGAACTACTATACAGATTATTCGTCCCACAACTTCCAGCCTCGTCAAACCAATAAAGTTATGCGGTGCGCTTGCCCCATCAAATGTTACAGCCCTCGCATGCTCACAACGCATCAGTTGCCGATCAGCCCGCTACTTCAACAATGCTGTTACAACAACACATGTTCATTGGGCTGCCAAGTTTCAATCGGGATAATAACCGTCTGGGTATATCGCAGCCTTCGACAACATGAGTGTTACCCGAAATGACTATTTATGTGCATCCCTCTTCTCAAGCTATATACCATCGCTCACCCAATATTTATTTCGGAACTTACTGGTCGGGTATAAGATAGCTGAAAGTATTCAGCTAGGAGTTTTCAGCGGACCTAAATCACATCTCGACTAAACTTCATATCACTGAGGTCGCGGAGGCAAGGGAGGCCTCGCCGAGAAGGAGGATGATTGCAGGCCTCGGGATGGAGAATGAAGGCTCGCCTTTTGCTGAACTGGGCAATCGATGTTCGGTGTGTTCGGGGGTACAACACTCATGAGCTGAGGAGTGTCCACCGGCCCTAGCATTGGCTTTGAAGCGGTGTCAATGTGCAGTCCTGGAAGATGAGAACCAATGCGAGGATCATTTAGATACGTAACCAGTGCACTGACTGAATCACGAAATCTCTGTTCTTTGAAAGTTTCGTTATGCAGATCGGGAAGGTCTTCGAAGTATTGAATCAGAGACGTCGGAAAACCATCTTCTTGTTGCAGTGATGAGGAAGAACCGTGCGCGTTGATAAGAAGACCCGCTTCGACGTCGTCCTTCTCGCGACAATGTGAGAAACCTTTCGAGAATACTTTCCCCAAGATTCCAGCTACTGTTGCGACGTGTGGCATCGTCACCCCAAACACGATACCAAATCCTCGAATCGTGAAGGTTGTCGCGAAACCAAGAGCAAAATTCACAACAGTAGACAAGGAATTATGATGTGCTATGACGTATACCACAGCGCCCACCAACGGAGCGATGGCGTAAACTTCCTTTGAGAATAGGATCGGCTTCTGTGAAGCGAATATGTCGCGAGTAAATCCACCAAGACATGCCGTTATTACCCCAGCAATAACGCAAATGAGAGCACCGTGATGTTTCGACGCAGCCTGCTCCAAGGGTGCGAGTGCGGAGGGGCGGAGAGGCAAGGGGGCGGAGAGGGGGGTGTTCCCTCCTATTAGTCGTTCTTCAAGAGGCGTCACTGCACGACAAGTTCAAACGGATCGCGTAAAAATATTCCTAATACTCGTATATTCCAAGTACTCAAGACTTCTTCGTTCTTTTACGAAACTTCGCCAGCCCCGTAAGGGCTAGCGTGTGTCACGCACGAGCACTCTTCTTGGTAAAACTGGGGGCACTTTGCCCACCACGTCCTCGACCGAAGGGGGCGTGCGGAAGCTCACCTTGTGCGCTCCAAGCACGGACCACGTGGCCAAACCCACGTTATCGCTCCACAAGAAGAAGCTTCCCAAAGCCTTCGGAATGTGGTGATGGGGGTCGTCCACTATGGAAAGGAGTGACAAGGTGACGAAAGTGAGCAAGGAAAAGAAGATGGCAATCCAGAGGTCGGAAGTGTCCTTCACCCAGAAAACAGGCGTCTCGCCTAGAACTATATCCCGTACGGTTCCGCCGCCAATCCCAGTCACGCAGCCCAGGAACACGAAGGCTAACACATCGTCATTCCGTTTCGCGGCAATCAGCGCGCCGCCAATTGCGACGACGGCTACACCGAAGTGATCGAACCAGTTAACAACGTCAAAAAGGTCTTGGGTGTCCATTACGTATTTCTCCGAGATCAAGCGGAGGAACTGAGCCCCTGCAACAAAAAGCATGCAAAACGGTTTGCAATCACAACGCTCATCAGGAATGTGCAACATCCGGATGTGCATGGCACACATTTTGCACGTTGAATGAAGCCGCTTCATTCAGAGTCTTCATGCGCTGGATTCGAAATAGCGAACAATAGGGGCTACAGTTTTGGGTAAGCTTTCTGTATCAGGCGTGAAGATGTTAAACACAAAACAAACGAGGCATCACCGAGTCTAGTTGATACAGACGCGTTGATATTCTTGAACTATGGTACATCTGAGATTTCTATCGACCAAAAGTAACGCCTTCTGCATATTTTCGATATTGCAGCAATTGTTGACAAGGCACGAGCATACACAAAGGTCCAAGCGTCAGGGTGTCCACATTCCGCGAGACGTCTTCGACAACGTGAACGGAGATTTGATGCAATATTTTTTTAACAGATAATCACAGGTTTGTAAGCACGTAATATATATTTTAAAATATGGCAACGACGTTCATGTTCTCGAATTTTGCTTACAACTACACTTCGTGGGTGGAAATCTCAAGTTGCGTGGCGAAGCGGAACCGTTTCTTAACAGAATTCAGGAAGAAGCAGAAAAAACTCGTGATCAAAGTGACAAGACAGCGCCACGAAGCATATCTCCGAATTCCTATTGACGTAAGGTTTCCTGCCGGTGGAATGAATACATGTGTGATGTTATGTTCTAGTTGTTTGCTTCCACATTCCGCACATTTATTTCGTTTTCGATGGGTTTCCAATTCAAGATCCGAGGACCGCGACCTATCGATTTGGACAGCTATTAAGATTGACGATGAGTATGCTCTGGTAAACCTAGCGTCAGCTGTGACACAGTAACCTCAAACCTGAAAAAGCCGATCGTGATCGCTTGATCGGATGGGCACGCAACCCACGCATGAGAGCGCATGATGAGGCCACAGGAGCGGCGCCATCGCCATCGCCATGCGATGGATACAATTGCCGACATACCGCGTATTAAGACCATATTTAAAAACGCGATGGAGATAAATTCCAAGATTAAATACTTATAGCGTTAATATTGGGATTGCTTATATGTAGCCGCCCCGGAACGTGCAGGTGCAGAAAAAGCATACCATTTTTTGTCGAAAGGGCATTCTGAAGGTTTGAGGTAGTCGAGGGCTTAGGTCTTGGCCTAAACAAGAATTTTGAAAAATTTTATTCAAAATTTAGGTCAAAATTCAGCCAAAAAAAAATGTCAAAATTTTGAAAAATATAGGGGGTCCGTAGGAAAAATATCCACCCCCGTCTGCAATTTTTAAAGTTGGACCCCCATCGATCGATATTTTTCGAAAATTTGTCGAAAAATCTGACAGAGACGGTCGAGACGGTGTCGGCTGTCGATCGATGTCGATGTCGCCGCCCTTCCTTTCGTCTTTTACAATGTTCTTTGTCGACAGTAAGACGCAAGAACAGCCAACAGCGAACAGGGGAGGATCATCATCACCATGCTCGTCGAAGACTATTCTTCAACTTCAGAATCCGATATATCTGATCTCGACGTCGAGGACAACACCAACAAGACAAATCTCCGCCCAGTACACCTAGACCTGGGACGTGACGATGGCGACTCATCGGAGGACAGCGACGACCGCGAACCGAGTCGCTTGGAGGCAGCGTATGCACGCACGCGAGCACAACCCCTAACAAACGCCTTCGACCAGTTGAAGCGGAAAAGGAGCTCCCAGCAGCATGCGGATAGCGAGCTGCCGCAGCAGCCGGCTTTAGCAGCGCACGAGCGAGAAAGGGCACCTTCTCTGAAACCTCCCTCTGGAAAGAAGCGTGCAGGAGGGGGTGTACGCATCACGAAGGAGCCGAAGATCGAGCCCTCCAAGCGCATCACCGAATTTCCCGACCATTGTTTGCGAATCTCAGCAGGGAGGCTCTTTTGCGGTTGTTGCAAAGAGACCTTATCCCTCTTGAAGTAATCCGTCAAAACCCATGTGCTCAGCGCCAAACATCTTGGAGCTAAGGAAAACTTTGTCCTTAGGCGTAGGGATGATGAACACGTGCGTGATGTTCTGGTGGAGTATTTCAAGGAGTACGAGGACGAGGCAACCTTGATAACATCTCACCGCGACATAACATCTCACCGCAACATAACCGCTCACCGCAACATAACATCTCATTGCGACATAACATCTCACCGCGACATAACATCTCACCGCATTATTTCATCTCACCCGCGCATTACCACATCGCCGCGCCTCCGCACCGCCGCACCGCCGCGCCTCCGCGCCTCCCTCAGCGGCTCTACGGCTCCGAAAAAAAGAGGAAAAATTTCATCAAAATTTAGGCATCCTGAAAAAAGGGCAAAAAAATATAGGTTCGGCCCCGAAAAATGGGTCAAAAAAATTTAGGCGATTTTTAAAAAAATTCTTGTTTAGGCCAACTTAGGTCCTCACAATCGTACCTTGGGGATTTGCGTGAATCCAATTTCTCGCAAAGATTTGGCATGCTACTTCTTTACA